TTACACGGACACTATAATCATTCATAAATATGGGTTAAACTTCTATAAAACCATTAGAGAACTTGAACGAGTCTTAAATGTTTTTACATAATCGTTTGGCACGACCACCGATGCTGCTTATATGTTTATTCTCAAGAGGTTATCTTTGGCCGTTATAGCTTGATTGCGACACTCTATTAGTATCCATTGGTCGACGACCGTATACGAAGGATCTCGGTTTGGAGAATGTAAACATTGCACTAGATAATAAGGGACGAGTACCAGTAAACGAAAGGTTCCAGACACAGGTTGGGAGCTGAGTTTATCCATTTCATGGTTTAATAATTTCTGATTTCTGCTGGATCACGTTTATTTCAGGTTCCATCTATCTATGCTATCGGCGATGTCATAGCGGGACCCATGCTTGCTCACAAGGCTGAAGATGAAGGTGTGTTACATAGGAGACGCTCAGGTCCTTGCTGATCTTTGATTTTAGGAATCCTATGCGTCGAAGGAATTTGTGGAGGACCCGTCCACCTTGATTATAACTGTATCCCATCCGTTATTTACACCCATCCAGAAGTAGCCTGGGTTGGGAAACCTGAGGAGCAGTTGAAAGAGGAGGTAAGGGTTCTGATGCTTTGTTTAATGACATTTTTTTCGTTTAAATCTGGCTTGTGTGAAGTTTTTTTTCCTATTATTAGATTAATTACATGCATTGATTCCGTGATCTTATTTTAGGGGATTCAATTCAAGATAGGAAAGTTCCCATTCATCGCAAACTCTCGCGCGAAAACAAACTTCGATACTGAAGGATTTGTTAAGATTTTAGCCGATAAGCAAACAGATAGGATGCTAGGTGTACACATCATTGGACCGGTAAGTAGGCTTCGATTTAACATTTTGCTGAAGTTTTGTGATTACTTCTAAAAGCTTTCTTATTTAGAATGCCGGAGAAATGATCGCCGAGGCTACTTTGGCTCTTGAATATGGAGCATCAGCCGAAGACGTTGCAAGAGTGTGCCATCCACATCCTGTGAGTTTTTTCGAGGTTTTGTATGGAAAGAAAT